ACTTTAATTCCAGCAATATTTTTATTTTCTTTTCATAATTTTTAACTGTGAAATATTTGATTTAAACATATGTAGCCGTAATAACATATGGCGACAAAAATTTTAGGAGTAATTATTTATAATGACACACGAATATAATAACATAATGTATAAGCACATACATATATAAACATCATTAGTTAGACCTGAAATATTAAATTGACTACGTAGCAAAAATTTAAAACAAACAATCTGAAGTTTATAGTATCAATTAAATAATAAGAGAGACAAGAAATTTTAGAAAGTTTTATTTGTTGAGGAGTGCTGAGGAGTGTTGACTCACTCTGAATAAGAAGCCAGGGCTTATTTATCAGATAACACGGCGTATAAGTTGAATAAATGATCTTTAGGAAAGCAGGATGGCGGGTCTATCATTCTGTTTCAGTCTAGAGGAAGTGTTCATATTAGCAAAAGATCTAGCCAGATATGAAATAAGTTTCGGCCTTATTTTCTGGCACTCGACTTTAACCATTGGAACTCTCAAATCGAAATGTATGTTTTCTTTTCTGATATACCAAGGTACACTAGTTATCATTCTTAGAGTCCTTGCTTGAGCTCTTTACAGGATTTTTACATTTGGCGAACAGGCATTGCCATATAGCTGTAAGCCATACATCCAGTTTGGCTTAATGACTTTGTTGTATGACAAGACTTTGTACTCTAAACATAAGGAAAACTGATGCCCGATTAGAAAGAGAAGGCTGATAGCCTCGATCTTCATTTGAGTCCTTTTTGTTTCAATATGCTTCCGCCAAGTTAAGCGTTTGTCAAAGTGAATATCAAGGTACCAAGATACGTCACTGTTTCTGCTTGCGGAACTACTATTCTCTTGAGGGTGATAGTTGATGAGGAGACCTATTAAGAGAGAATGTTATATGATAATATTTTTGCTCATTGACTTTAATTCGCTATATTAACAGCGACCTTTCTACGAAGCACAAATGTTTGTGTAGTTGACTAAAAGTGATTGTGGCTTTCTTATGTCTGCACAAAATATCTGTATCGTCAGCAAATGTTGATGTTACTAAATTGGTATTTGTGATGATATCCGAAGTAAAGATAAAGTACAAGAATCGACCGAGAACGCTGTCAAAAATGTGGAACACCTGCACTTATTGGGAAGTCTTTAGTTATGTGCATGTTGAACTTTACATTGAAAGATCTGTCTATCAAGTATGATTAAAGTACTGCGTGAGAGTCTTGTGGAAGTATTTGTCGTATTTTGTGGATCAGGCCTTCATGCCATACTTTTTCGAACGTTTGTACAACATCTGAAAAGACACCAGAGCAATATTTTCGATTTTCAAAGGCGCTTTATATTTCGTCAGTTATTCTGTTCACTTGTGCGATAGTACCATATTTTTGACGTAATCTTAATTGATGGCTTGAAATCAGCTCT